CTCACATCACTTCTATTTAACATTGCTCTAGAGATTCTAGCAGGTGCAGTAAGTCAAGAAAACAAATAAAACGTTTTAGATTAGAAAGGAAAAAGTAAAACTGTTTTTACAAACAACATTATTAGATGCAGAAATGCTGATGGAATCATTAGCTAATGGAATTTTTTTAAACTATCAGGGATAATAAGTGTGTTTACCAAGATTGAAAGATACAAGACCAATATCTTAAAAATCTGGCTAGTCAAGACAGGGATCTCTGAGGAAAAAAAAAAAAAAACTAAAAAATAAGATAAATTCTAACAAATAAAAAATAAAAACCAGCCAGTGTGGTGGTTCATGCCTATACTCCAAGCATTTTGGGAGGCTGAGGAGGGAGGATCTCTTGAGCCCAGGAGTTTGAGACCAGCCTGGGCAACATAGTGAGACCCTGTCTCTATACAAAAATAAAAAATAAAAGTAAAAATAATTTTTAAAAACAAAAATCAATTGTATTTTATATGAGCAATTATAAACTGAAATTCTTTTTCGTTGTTGAGACAGAGCCTCACTCATGGCTGGCTAATTTTTGTATTTTTAGTAGAGATAGGGTTTCACCATGTTGGTCAAGCTGGTCTCGAACATCTGACCTTGTGATTCACCAGCCACAACCTCCCAAAGTGATTACAGGCATGAGTCACTGAGCCTAGCTGAAATTCTTAAAATACAATTTACAATTGGATTAAAAATATGAAATACTAGAGGATAAACTCAGAAAATATTTGCAAATGTGTACACTAAAAACTGCAAAACATTACTGGGTAAAAGAAAACAAATAAATGGAGAAATATATCATATTCTTGGATGGGAAAACTCAAGATATCAATTCTTGAAAAATTCAGTGAAACATCAATTAAAGTCCCAGTGAGATTTTTATAGAAATTGAGAATCTGATTCTAAAATTTATATGAAAATTCAAAATAGAAAAAAGTAAGGATATCTAGAAATAAATGCCACTAAAAATGTATTGAGATAAAAATAAAATGTTATCAGAAACAGTAAAGACCTAAATAATTTGATAGCTATATCATGTTCATGGGTAGAAAAACAGAATGTTTTTAAAATTTTCAATCCTTCCCAAATTTATCTATAAATTTGATGCAACTCCAATCAAAATACCAATCTTACTTTGTGGAATTCAGTAAACTGATTCTAAAATACATATGAAAGAATAAAGACCTGAGGGCTAGGAGGGGTTAGGGTAATAGTATTTCTTCTACCACATACCAAGGTTAATCATAAAGCCATAGTAATTAAAATATTTATATTTAAAATATTTATAGCAACTTGTTTCATAGTAGTTTCACATTTCACCAACCTTTAGTGTGTCTATTCTTTTATTATTTAAACTCAGTGGGTGAAAAGTGGTATTTCATTTTGGTTTTAGTTGTTTTAATAATATAACCACCCTAGCTTTCTTTAGTGCTTGTACCGTGTCTGTTTTTCTATCCTGTTATAATCAACTTGTCTGTGACTTTACGTTAAAGATGTGTTTCTTATATACCACATACGAGATCTTGCTTTTTTAAAATCCAGGGTGACAGTCTCTGCCTTTAAATTGCAGTGTTTAGTCTACTTAGATTTAGTGTAACTATTGATATGGTTCAGTTTGAGGCTCCCATTTTGGCATTTGTTTTCTACTAATCCCACTTGTTCATCTTTCCTTCGTTTATCCTTCCTTGCCTTATCTGGATGAATCACTTACTTTTTAGTTTTTCTATGTTGTCTCCTATACTGGTGTGTAAAACAGAATAAAGCGTTGTAGGATGACAGGTGGCTTCTATTGTTTTTGTTTGTTTTATTTTTAATGAAAGTTATAAATATGCCATTTTATTATCTTATGGCCACCATCCTTTTTGGTCAGTCAGCTATTATTTGTATCATTGTTCTCATGTATATAATGAATCTTTTTCACTCTAGTTGCTTTTAAGATTAGCTTTTTATCTTTGGTTTTCTGCAGTTTTACTATGTGCCTAGATGTGATTTCCTTTGTATTTATCCTACTTGAGGTTCAGTTGAGTTTCTTGGATTTCTGGGTTTATGTCTTTCTGTAATCTTGGAATGTCCCTGGCTATTATCTCTTCAAATGTTTCTTCCACCTCATTCTCTTTTTCCTCTCCTACTACGATTCCAAAAACACCTGTATGAGACCATTTAATATTGTCTCATAGATCTCAGGTGACCTGTTCATTATTTTTTCACTGTTTTTTCCTTTGTATTTCAGCTTGTATGCATGCTATTAACCTGTCTTCAAGTTCACTGCTCTTTTCATCTGCTTTTTCCAGCTTGTTTCTAAGTCCATCTTTTTTAAGACAGGGTCTCACTTTGTCAACTAGCCCGGAGTGCAATGGCAAAATTACATACAGCTCACTGCTGCCTCGAACTGTTGGCCTCAAGCAATCCTCCCACTGTGGCTTCCCAAAGTGCTGTGATTACAGGGATTCCTGGCCTATTTACTTATTTATTTATTTATTTAGACGGCGTTTTGCTCTTGTTGCCCAGGCTGGAGTGCAGTGGTGCAATCTTGGATCACGGCAATCTCCACCTCCCAGGTTCAAGTGATTCTCCTGCCTCAGCCTTGTGAGTAACTGGGATTACAGGCGTGCACCGCCATGCCCGACTAATGGCTAATTTTTTTATCTTTAGTAGGGATGGGGTTTTGCTATGTTGGCCAAACTGGTCTTGAACTCCTCTAATTATTTCTTTATTCTTGATTTTTTTTTTTTATTTCTAACATTTCCATTTTGTTCCTTTTTATCATTTCTGTATCATGGCTGAAATTCCTCATCTCTTCACTATGTTGCCCATCTTTTCCACTAGATCCTTCAGCGTTTTTATTATAGTTGTTTTCTCTTTAGACATTCTTGGTACCTTAGCACTGACAACATCCCAGAGATCTCTTTATACTTTACATTGAAGCCACCAACCTTCACAATCCTTGGGAGAGCTAGCTCTGCTTTACAACCTAGCTGCCAGCTTTTGGATCATTGATCATTTGACTGTTTTTGATCAATTATCTTTCCTTTCTCATCTGACTGAATTTTGGTGCACTGAGGGATCTCTCCATCTTCCTCTCCTCCTCCGCTTCTCCTCCTGCTCACTCCACACTCCCCTCTCCTTTTCCCTCTCCCTCTCCTCTGTCTCCTATCTCATGTCCCAATCCTGTCAGGGAGGCTGCTTTAGACTCTGGGTAGAGGCTACAGAAGGTTCCTCTCCACTGTCTTATCCCACTCCGAGTCATGGAGCTGAGAATTCGTAGCATGGATGGGTTTCTCTAAACTTTCCCCTTGATGCATGCCTCTTTCCTGCCTTCAGAGAGTTACTGTCTGACATTTTTAAGAGACCTTGAATGCTTCCGAAGGATCTTTCACCTCACCTGCAGGATTATGCCGAAGCATTAAGTGGAGTTAGGTGGGAAAGAGTTTGTGGGTGAGAGTGAAAACTCAGTCCCTGTCTGGGAATCGTTGGAATTCTCGTCTATCATGTTTATGACATGTTCCTCTTCCCATCTCTCTGACAAGAATGAGAATGGCTCTTTCTTCTACGAAGGGCTCATCATTTTGTTTCTATTTCTTCTTTAAGGATTGTTTCACTCATTTCCAGCAATGTAAGCTCTCTACTTTCAAGTGAATCCACATTTAGCAAAATGACCTCTTACCCCAAATTGGGTCTTTCTTTGATTACCAGTTTGATACCTGCCTACCTCCTGTTTCAGTATACACTTAATATTTGTAAGTATTAAGTAAAATGAGGATAAGATGTGTTCAAAATATAGAAATTACATTTTAGGTAAAAATCCCTAAAAATTAGAACAGTGGGGACGGGAGACAGAGGAGAAGGGAGGCCTTGGACTCCTTGATGAAATCAGGCCTGCCGAGTTTCAGGCACAGCAGTTTCTGAATTCCCTTCCCATCCAACAGCCTATGTCCATAGAAGGGTAGAATTTGTTTGTCTGAGGTTTTAAGTTTTCTTTTCTCTTTATCTGGTAACCAAGGAATCTAGAATTCCAGAAATGAGTTACCATTTGAAGAGACCTTGTACGTTGACCTCAGTAAACATCAAGGTCAAAGGGGCACTCCTGGCCAGACTGGTGAATACATAAAGAAAGGGAAGGCTGACGTGCTTAAAAGATTTAAAAGGAATCAAAATATATTACTCCTACCGATAGAAGCAATTTATGAAAAAATAAAATTATTGGGATTTTTATGGTTATATTTAATATGATAAATTTCTATTTAATGTATTCCTATGCCTGAAATATTATTCAAAAATATATTGAAGCAAATCAAACCTTAGCATTTACTTTTTTTTTTTTTTTTGAGGCGAAGTCTCACTCTTGCCCCCGAGCTGGAGTGCAATGGCACGATCTCGGCTGACTGCAACCTCCACCTCCCAGGTTAAAATGGTTCTCCTGCCTCAGCTTCCCTAGTAGCTGGGATTACAGTCACCTGCCACCACCCGCAGCTAATTTTGAACTTTTGTAGAAATGGGGTCTCACTGAGTTGCCCAGGCTGGTCTCAAACCTCTGACTTCAAGTGACTCTCCTGCCTCAGCCTCCCAAAGTGCAGGGATTATAGGCATGAGACCACCACACCTGGTCTCTATCTTTTAAATATAGCAAATTGGAAGATGGAAATTGTTAGACTTTGGGAGTTAAGCTATGAGGACACAAAGGTATAAGAATGATACAATGATACAGTGGCCTTTGGAGACTTGGGGGGAGGGTGAAGAGGCTGAAGGATAAAAGACCACACATTGGGTACAGTGTACTCTGCTTGGGTGACAGATGCAGCAAAATCTTAGAAATCTCCACTAATGAACTTACTCATGTAACACCACCTGAACACCCAGAAACCTACTAAAGTACAATGTTTAAAAAATAAAAATAACATTTAAAAAAGAGAAATTGTTAGACCCATCTCTAAAATCAAAGATTTTTCTTACCATTTTTCATTTTGTCACAGTCTAAAGGAAGAAGAAGCAACTTGGCAGTCTGGACAGAAAATGAAATTTACCTCGGATATATTCTTCTTAAATTTGCCAGATTTGTAACGACCGCACAACTGAAAACGATCCTAAATCTACCAGTCGCTACTACTCTGACCATCCACTCCGTTCAGTATACAGGACACCCTCTGGAGATTGCTGTGTTTTTAAATTATTGCATTACGTGTACCGTCACCAAAAAGATTTTCTTAGTGATATATAATGAAGATACGAAACAGTGGATTCTCCAAGACTTGCCATTAGATGCCCCTATTGACAGTGTTTTCTTCCCACATTTTATGTTTTCAGCACTGCCAGGATTGATACTGTGGAACAAGCATAGTGTCTACTATTATTACAATAATTTCACCTTTACTGGGATTTTGCAGACACCTGCAGGACATGGAAATCTATCAATGCTATCAAATGGCAGCATTATTCATGAAGTTTTAATAGGTAAGGCATTCTCAGTCTACTAACATTATTCTAGATTTCATTATAGACCTCTTCCTTATAATGATGTAACACTTTTTGATTACCAATACGTGGCGCTTTTGACAGCCAAAGGTGCACTTCTTATCACCTACACATGAATCGACTTTAAATTCAAGTAATGTTTACTATGATCTCACAGAGCCAAAGGGCAAACTCAGTTTCTTTTTGTGAGGGAGAGGAGAGCTTCGTTTCGGTCAATCAGCAGATTCTAACTAAGCAATTTATATATACATCATAGTGTGTAGGAGGTGCTGTGGTATTGTGTTCATTTCCTGGGGCTCCCATAACAAAGGACCACAAACTGGATTTCTTAAAACAACAGAAATGTATCATTTCACAGTTCTGGAGGCTAGAAGTGGGAAATCAAGGTGTTGATGGGGCCATGTTCCCACTGAAACCTGGATAGGGAGGTTCTGCATTATAAAGCACATATGAAGAAAGTTCATATGTGTTTTTTAAACAACCATGAGCCATAGTGATAAGAAGACAAGGTTAGAATGATACATTGGGGATAGATTTCAGAGGATGTCAGATACCCAGTTTCAATGTGGTACTGAAGGTCATTCAGAAACAATGAAATGTCACACGCTCAAACAATTCATAAGAGTATGAAGTATGAAGTTAAAGTTCTTCATCTCTCACCATTCTCATTTACTGAATAACCAACTATTAAGAAACTCCTGTGAGGCTGGGTGTGGTGGCTCAAGCTTGTAATTCCAGCAGTTTAGAAGGCCAACGTGGGAAGATCACTTGAGCTCAGGAGTTTGAGTCCAACCTGGGCAACGTGGTGAAACCTCATCCCTACTAAAAACATAAAAATTAGCTGGGTATGGTGGTACATGCCTGTGGTCCCAGCTACTCAGAAGGCTGAAGCAGCAGGATCACTTGAGCCCGGGAGGTCAGCGACGCAGTGAGCCATGTTCACATCACTGAACTCCCCAAACAGAGTGAGATCCTGTCTCAAAAAAAAAAAAAAAAGTTCCTGTGAGTTTGTCCAGACTTTCAAACAAGGACATACTAAATATAATGGGCGTCTTTTCAAAACAATACATATAAAATGAATACCATTTTAACTGCTGTGTAATGTCCTACTCTCTATGCACACTATTGTCTAATAGGGGTGTAGATAGATATTTAGACAGATATTAGGCTTCAGTTCTTTTGCTGTTAAAAATAACGCTGTAGAAAGTATGCATATGTACACACACCAGTACAGGTATTTCTGTCATATAAATTACTGGATATAGAATTCCTGAATCAGAAGTTACAAATATTTTAAAAGTTGATAAATCCTTCTCATTTACCCACTAGCAAAGTTTGTCACAGTCTAAACTCCCCAAAAGTATTTGAAAATGTATCATTTTCGTATAATCCGTTTAACAGTTACCAATTATATAGAAGAAAAATGTGATTCTCATTTTATTGCACATATTTTTTATAATTAGATGTTATATCTACTTTCATAAATTTATTGGCCATATCCTGTGAATTTTTTTTCTTGTCATTTCCTTATTTCTTTCTGTTTTGTTTTTATATATATATATATATATACTTTAAGTTTTGGGATACATATACAGAATGTGCTGGTTTGTTACATAGGTATACACGTGCCATGGTGGTTTGCTACACCCATCAACCCATCATCTACATTAGGTATTTCTCTAAATGCTATCCCTCCCCTAGCCCCCCACCCCCTGACAGGCCCTGGTGTGTGATGTTCCCCTCCTCATGCCCATGGGTTCTCATCATTCATCTGCCACTTATGAGTGAGAACATGTGCTGTTTGGTTTTCTGTTCCTGTGTCAGTTTGCTGACAATTATGGTTTCCAGCTTCATCTATGTCTCTGCGAAGGACATGAACTCATCCTTTTTTGTGGCTGCATAGTATTCCATGGTGTATATGTGCCACATTCTTTTTTATACAGCCTATCATTGATGGGCATTTGAGCTGGTTCCAAGTCTTTGCTATTGTGAACAGTGCTGCAAGAAACATACTTGTGCATGTGTCTTCATAGTAGAATGATTTATAATCCTTTGGGTATATACCCAGTAATGGGACTGCTGGGTCAAATGGAATTTCTGGTTCCAGATCCTTGAGGAATCGCCACACTGTCTTCCACAATGGTTGAACTAATTTACACTCCCACCAACAGTGTAAAAGTGTTCCTATTTCTCCACATCCTCTCCAGCATCTGTTGTCTCCTGACTTTTTAATGATCGCCATTCTAACTGGCGTGAGATGATATCTCATTGTGGTTTTGATTTGCATTTCTCTAATGACCAGTGATGAAGCGCTTTTTTTCATATGTTTGCTGGCGGCATAAATACCTTCTTTTGAGAAGTATCTGTTCATATCCTTTGCTCACTTTTTGATTGGGTTATTTTTTTCTTGTAAATCTGTTTTAGTTCTTTGTAGATTCTGGATATTAGCCCTTTGTCAGATGGATACATTATGAAAATTTTCTTCCATTCTGTAGGTTTCCTGTTTATTCTGATGATATTTCTTTTGTTATGCAGAAGCTCTTTAGTTTAATTAGATCCCATTTGTCAATTTTGGCTTTTGTTGCCATTACTTTGGGTGTTTTAGTCATGAAGTCTTTGCCCATGCCTATGTCCTGAATCGTATTGCCTAGGTTTTCTTCTAGGGTTTTTGTGGTTTTAGGTCTCACATTTAAGTCTTTAATCCATCTTGAGTTAATTTTTGTATGAAGTGTAAGGAAGGGATCCAGTTTCTGTTTTCTGAATAGGGCTAGTCAGTTTTCCCAGCATCATTTAATAAATAAGGAAAGCTTTCCAAATTGCTTGTTTTTGTCAGGTTTGTTGAAGATCAAATGGTGGTAGATGTGTGGCATTACTTCTGAGGCCTCTGCTCTGTTCCATTGGTCTATATAACTGTTTTGGTACCAGTACCTTGCTGTTTTGTTTACAGTAGCCTTGTAGTATAATTTGAAATCAGGTAGCATTATACCTCCAGCTTTGTTCTTTTTGCTTAGGTTTGTCTTGGCTATACAGGCTCTTTTTTAGTTCCATATGAAATTTAAAGTAGTTTTTTCTAATTCTGTGAAGAAAGTCACTGGTAGCTTGATGGGGATAGCATTGAATCTATAAATTACTTTGGAAAGTATGACCATTTTCATGACATTAATTCTTCCTATCCATGAACATGCAATGTTTTTCAATTTGTGTCCTCCCTTATTTTAGTGAGTAGTGGTTTGTAGATATTGAAGAGGTCCTTCACATCCCTTGTAAGTTGTGTTCCTAGGTACTTTATTCTCTTTGTCACAATTGTGAATGGGAGTTCACTCATGATTTGGCCCTCTATTATTGGAGTATAGGAATGCTTGTGATTTTTGCACATTGATTTTGTATCCTGAAACTTTGCTGAAGTTCCTTATCAGCTTAAGGTGATTTTGGGTTGAGACAATGGGGTTTTCTAAATATGCAATCACATCATCTGAAAACAGAGATAACTTGACTTCCTATTTGAATCCCCTTTATTTCTTTCTCTTGCCTGATTGCCGTGGCCAGAACTTCCAATACTATGTTCAATAGGAGTCGTGAGAGAGGGTATCCTTGTTTTGTGCCAGTTTTCAAAGGGAATGCTTCCAGCTTTTGCCCATTCAGTTTGATATTGACTGAGGTTTATCATAAATAGCTCTTATTATTTTGAGATACGTTCCATCAGTACCCAGTTTATTGAGAGTTTCTAGCATGAAGGGTGTTGAATTTTATCAAAGGCCTTTTCTGCACCTATTGAGATAATCATGTGGTTTTTGTCATTGGTTCTGCTTATGTGATGGATTACATTTATTGTTTTGCATATGTTGAACCAGGCTTGCATTTCAGCAGTGAAGCCAACTTGATCATGGTGGATAAGCTTTTTCATGTGCTCTTGGATTCAGTTTGCCAATATTTAATTGAGGATTTTCACGTGGATGTTCTTCAGGGATATTGGCCTGAAATTTTGTTTTTCTTGTGTCTCTGCCAGGTTTTGCTATCAAGATGATGCTGGCCTCATAAAATGAGTTAGGGAGGAGTCCCTCTTTTTCTGTTGTTTGGAATAGTTTCAGAAGGAATAGTACCAGCTCCTCTTTGTGCCTCTGGTCGAATTCAGCTGTGAATCTGTCTGGTCCCGGGTTTTTTTGGTTGGTAGGCTATTAATTACTGCCTCAATTTCAGAACTTGTTATTGGTCTATTCAGGCATTTGACTTCTTCCTGGTTTGGTCTTTGGATGGTGTATGTGTCCAGGAATTTATCCATTTCTTCTAGATTTTCTAGTTTATTTGCATAGAGATGTTTATAGTATTTTCTGTTGGTAGTTTGTATTTCTGTGGGATCAGTGGTGGTAGGCCTTTTATAATTTTTTATTGTGTCTATTTGATTCTTCTATCCTTTCTTCTTTATTAGTCTGGCTGGCAGTCTATTTTGTTAATCTTTTCAAAAAAACAGCTCCTGGATTCATTGATTTTTTTGAAGGGTTTTTCATGTCTCTATCTCCTTCCGTTCTGCTCTGATCTTAGTTATTTCTTGTCTTTCCCTAGCTTTTAAATTTGTTTGCTCTTGTTTCTCTCGTTCTTTTAATTGTGATGTTAGGGTGTTGATTTTAGATCTTTCCTGCTTTCTTCTGTGATCAGTTAGTGCTATAACTTTCCCTGTGGACACTGCTTTAGCTGTGTCCCAGAGATTCTGGTATGTTGTGCCTTTGTTCTCATTGGTTTCAAAGAATTATTTATTTCTGCCTTCATTTCATTAGTTAACCCAGTAGTCATTCAGGAACAGGTTGTTTAGTTTCCATGTAGTTGTGCAGTTTTTAGTGAGTTTCTTAATCCTTAGTTCCAATTTGATTGCACTTTGGTCTGAGAGACTGTTACGATTTCCATTCTTTTGCGTTTGCTGAGGAGTGTTTTACTTCCAATTATGTTGTCAGTTTTGGAATACGTATGATGTGGTGCTGAGAAGA